TTACGTAACATTACGTAAGATTCTGAGCTATCCTTCATTCTTTCTTTTTGTGTTCATTGGTCGACTTCCTGGGTGCTGATTAGTTGAAAAGAGACATGTACGTGACAACGGGTGAATAGATATTCACTGGTATGAGACAAGAGACTTGATAAACCACAGTAGGCTCTTCGGCGCAGATATCAGACAAATTTAAGTTCATCTCATACCGGTAAACGAACAAAAGCTAGCCACCATGGCAACTATAAGATCACGTTAAATTCTATAAAAATAAAAATACATGCAGCACGTATACATAAAATGTCTTTGATGATGTTTACCATCATAGCAAAATTATAGATTAAATACTGGAATCCATCTCCCCCCCCCCCCCCCCCTCTCTCTCCCCTTTCATTGGAAGAGGGATGTTGACCCTGTCTATAAATCAGCACTATCGCATTTACACTGTGGTCCATTTCTCACATGTGGGCGCGGTTCACGCGCTCAAGCGGCACTTACATGTCTATCATCATACAAATCATAAGAATTTACTGTCTTACAGTGGTCTTGTGATGTTTTCATAATTTCCATCATTAGAGTGAAAAAAAAATTGATCGTTCTTTTTTCACTATTTTGGGACCTTTGTCATGTTTGTGACATGTGGATTGTTGTGTGAATTCCGACCCGTACATGTCTTATGCAAGATCGAGGGAGTCTTGCATCAGGCATGCAGAGGAATACACAATTTAAATCTTCGGTTTGCAATGGCGATTGTGGGAATACATGTACTTATTGTCTATTAGAAGGAATGAAATATTTTCATAGTATAATTTAAAAAATGACAAATATCCCATCTAGAAGCTGAACAGTCTATGTAATTAATTTTCGTCGAGAACGACAAAGAACAATGCAGTCTATAAATAGATCGAGGTCAGTGTGCCTGACAAGCACGCCCTCTGGTTGGAGAATTGTGCAAATCTTTTTCCCAGAATTCCGATTAACGCAAGCGCACTTGCAGTTTCATCCTAACGTAACTAGTCAGCCCGGGGGCTGACTAACTATATACATTGTCTATTTATAGCTTATTACCAAGAAATCTAAATATAGCTATTCAACACCCAACAAGCCCTAATATATATATTAACAAAGAAATACATTTATATAGTCGTTTAAATTTCAGTATAGACCTATTTACTTATAGATATATAGGTCAGATACTGTAGATGTAAAGTTTCATTTGAATAAATAATAAACAAATTAAAGTCTATTTATAATTAAAGTCTATTTATAACTATACATATTTAGTGTTTTAGTGCGTCTTTGATATGACTCCGCCCACCAACCAATCAGCTTTGCAAAGGGTGGCCAATAAGCGAGGGTCTTCCTTACTTAATGGAATGAAGAACGAAAAGAATCAGTTTAATGAGATGCATACTAAATATATTCCCATCTCTTCCCACTGACTGTGATCCATTTATCGTGAGATTCTATAACTGATGGTAGTTTCACTAGTTTGTATCCCCGGGGGACGTTAAGATTCCAATCTCTCTCAGTACCAAATTTTATTCATACACTACTACATAACCCTTTGTTCGTTATGTTTGTATAAAAGTTAGGGTCATGAGAAAACAAAAGCAATTCTTGACTATTCTAATTAGTTTAGCTATTTAATCTCAAATTCGATTTTTGCATCTTATGTTTTCAACATGTCAAATGATCCTTCTGGGCTCTCGTAATTTTGTAACAACAATGAACAAAGCGAAATCGGAAATAAATTTTTCGATGAACATGGATTTCCGTAAATACCAGTTATAAAATTGATATGTTTACATTTTCAAATACGTTATCTGACGTTGTCTTACAGTATCTACAATCCTCATTTTTTTAAATTAGAAAGTGGAAGAGAGAATAGAAATCACAGCGTAAGTAAAACTGTCTGGAAAGTTCATGTTGATGTAGGCAGACATAAGAGCGCGGGGGCAGCCCACCCCCAATCATAAGAATGTTTATTGAAAAGCCTGTTGACATCTACCCACTTTAGGTTTGTTTTGGTTGCAGTATGATATACAATTATTGCTGTTTTTAAATGATGATTTAGACACCCGAGGAGTACAATATTCACTGAGCCCGAAGGAAGAAGTGAATATTATATACTTCGAAGGTGACTAAATATCGTATTGATCGCGAAAAACAGCAATAACTGTTTTATTATATGATTAAATCATTGAAAACTCCTACAAGACTCTTTTTTTCTTTAATTATGTTCCCCAAACGAAGTTGGGGAACATATTGTTTTTATTCTGTTTCTTATTATTATTATTATTATTATTATTATTATTCCTGGGAAAATTTTGTCCTTGAGTGATCTTGTAAACTACACATCCGACTAAGGTAAAATGTTTTTAGGGTCAATAGACATGTTATGTAGATTTGCCGAACAAAGGTCATTTTGCGCGCACGTGCTTGCAAGAGCGCGCACGTGCAACATGTAAAATGACCGATTTAATTGATATAGGCGTAACTTTTTAAATTTTTGATGAAATGCTTTGAAACTCATAATGTAAGGATATATTAGTAATATAGACAATATGAAATGGTCAAAATAGCAAGATCTCACGCGCATGCACGTGCGCTTTGCTCTGATTGGCTGAAACTAAAGTCTCAATATCTTTCTTGTTTTTTGAGGAGATCCTTTGAAATTTTGAACATAGCCATGCATTAGGATATCCTACAACATGATACATAGAAATTATCATGAAAACACGTGCATGCACGTGCGCTGCAATCTGATTGGCTGAAACTTTAAATAGCTATAACTCCCTTGATTTTCAACCAAACAGGATGGGATTTGGAACATAGATATATATAATGGACATCTACAAGAAGGTATGGTCTCCATGCACATGCATACATGTACGTATACGTGAGCTGCAATCTGATTGGCTGAAACTTTAAAAAGCTATAACTCCCTTGGTTTTCAACCAAACAGGATGGGATTTGGAACATAGATATATAAAATGGACTTCTACAATAAGGTATGGTCACCATGCCGTGCATACACGTGCGTGTACGTGAGCTGTAATCTGATTGGCTGAAACTTTAAACAGTTATAACTTCCTTGGTTTTCAACCAAACAGGTTGGGATTTGGAACATAGATATATATAATGGACATCTACAAGAAGGTATGGTCTCCATGCACATGCTTACATGTACGTATACGTACGCTGCAATCTGATTGGCTGAAACTTTAAACAGTTTTAACTCCCTTGGTTTTCAACCAAACGGGATGGGATTTAGAACATAGATAGATTTAATGAACTTCTACAAGAAGGTATGGTCACCATGCTCATGTATGCACGTGCGTGGACGTGAAATGACTAAAATCAAAAATACACTTGAATGAGCGAATTTTTTAATACTTATGGATTAAATACTTTAATATTTAGTATATTAAAATATATAGATTGTGTAGACAAGATGATATGGTCATTACGTATATGCCTTCACATGTGCACACGTGCAATGCTAAAATTTGAATGAGCATGGTACATTTCTGGGTAAACATTGTTAAAATTTCAAATGCATAGAGTTTGTGTTAATAAATAAAGCTTACAGGGAATATGGCACCAAAAGGGAGTTGGGGAGCGTTTGGGGAACATCTGTAACGGTCCCCGTTACAATTAGCACTAGTTGAAAGTTATAATGAGAATATCAACCAAAAAAACCCACTGTAACAGGAAAAAATGGAACGCGAATACTGTAATTCATTATACTGACCTGCAATAATTCCTTATATTGACCTGAAAGGTCACGTGCAGGTCAATATAACGTAGTATTGCTCTAACATTGTTGGATTTCAACCAATCAGAGAAAGGTAAATTATTCAATCATATAATAATATGTGTTATGGTAGTAGTATATATAGCTAATATTTATAGTTCTGAAAGAAGTTAAACTGGAACCTACCCCCCCCCCCTTCGAAATTGTATTTTCGAGTTTGGATATTGCAATTTTCCTTTTTACTAGATTTTGCCCTGTCCACCCGTCTGTTTGTCTTTTTGTCCGCAAAAACTTTAACCTTGCCTATAACTTTTGACTGGGTGGGACTATTTCACAAGTGTATTCCTTGTGACAAGACCTTTCTTTAGGTGCCACCAAATTTGACATCTTGACCTTGACCTTGGAGTTTGACACTTTAACACCAAATTTCCAAACTCTTACTTTGGCCATAACTATTGAACGGTTGGTGCTAAGACTATCATACTTTATAAATGTAATTCTTGTGACAGGACCTTTCATTGGATTCCAACAACTTAATTTGACCCTGACCTTGTAGTTTGTAGTTTGACCTTCTTTTAAAAAACTTTAACCTTGGCAATAACTTAAGAACGGTTGGTGCTAGGACTTTCATACTTCACATATGTATTCTTTGTGACAAGACCTTCCATTGAATACCAATAAATTTGACCTTTTGACCTTGACTTTGGAGATTGATCTACTTAAAAAAAATAAATTTAGCCATAACTTTTGAAAGGCAGGGGCTAGGGCTATTATAATTCACATGTGTAATTCTTGTGACAAGACCTTTCGTTGGATACCAACAACTTTGACCTTGGAGTTTGACCTTCTTTAAAAAAAACTTTAGCCTTGGATGTTTGGCAAACACTTTTTAATGTTTAGGGCTAGGGTTTTCATACTTCCCATAAATAATCTTTGTGAAATTTCTTTAGAAATCAACAATCTCGACCCTTTGACCTTGACCCCAGAGTTTGACCCACCTTTAAAAAACCGTTAACTATAACTTTTTAACAGGTGGTGCTAGGGTTTTATATTTCACATTTGTATTTCTTGTGAGAAGGCCTTACTTTGGGTATCAACATGTTTGATTTGCATTTAAGAAAATTTAACCTGCACTGTGTTGGCATACGGGATCATCAGTGTTTCTCAAACACATATTATTTTCTGTTTTCAATTTTTTTTTAAGTTAGTTAAATCCCCCCCCCCCATCTCCTCCCTTTTTCAAAATTTATGTTTTTTCTCTGTCGTAAATTGTACAAACTCCAAGTGGCTTCACGATTTGAAGACATACACTGTATAATCTCATTAGTGAGAGGTCCGGCTAGTTATCAGCTCTATGCGACTCGTTCCTGAGATAAATAAACTCCCTGGCCGCTATCTCGTAAACTAAATTGAAGCATTTGTGTTTATCTTAAATTGTAATCAACACGCATCGACCCAGATTTTGGCTGCGGAGTGTGCCTTTGGAGAAGTTTGCAGGTGTAGTGATTTGAAATCCAGACAGAAACCATGTCTTCTTTTGCTCCGACGTCCACGAGTGGTTCCAAAGATGATGATGCAAAATACAAAGAATTTGATGCACCAGATGCAGAATTCTTCAAAGGTAAGGTTTATATCATCGATAGTCTGTTGATTGATTTCTCCAATACGTTCTTTAACTTCTTTGTGCGTGTTTAACAGGTGCCTCCCTGATCTGAATTTATCTTTCAATGCATTCGTCAGCATCCATTCCAATCGCCTGCCTACAGCATGAAACCGGTCCCTATCCTGAAAAATATTTCTCACATTAATCATGTTTAATTGTACCATCATCAAAGCCCCTACTTGACATCGAAAACTTTACCTAGTTAAACTTGTTAAGAAATGTTAAAGTACATTATGCGAAAATAAAAACACTGAGTGCATCTCTGGAACTAGCAAATATATTTATCATTTTCCATGCAGGTTGGAATTTTCCGGTTTTCGATTGATTATTAGATGTATATATGTAATAAGTACTCTTTTACTCGCTTTCAAGTTCAATGAACATTTAAATGTACTTTATCATACAAATAAATAAAAGTATCATGCGAACTAATTGAATTTAAAGTCATCAAGGAAGACTAATTTACGTTTCCTCAATGCTTAATGTCCACACCCTCAACATAATCGTTAATATAAACTTTATTTCATGAAATAAAAAAAAAGTATAGAGAATTTTAATTCAAATACGTACCGGTACCATATATCAATAAAGTTGACTTATGTATCTTGAATATGTTTCATGAAGAGTGCTTTACAACAGGGGTTATCTGGTCTTTCTTTTAAAAAGCTTATATAAAACCTATTTTTGAATTTAAAACTTTAAAAAAGTGCTACGACAGGGAAATTTTCTTCTTCTTTTGCAAAGAAATCTCAATATTTTTTTTTCTTATTCTTTGTGTCTCATGCGGGAGCAAATACCTATTTTTAAACCAATAAAAGTATTTTCAAATGTGTGAAACGTGATGACATTCATGTTGTTCAGTGTTTTCTTAATTAACGGCGTTAAATCCGTCATTACTAATTTCAGGAATCGGCAAAATCCCTTTGAAAAAAGATGCTGGTGCCGGAGAAACAATGGTATTCAAAACATACGAACCAGAAAAGGTAATATATTTGAATGTCATTATGAATTTAGAAACAAATTTCAAAAAAAGGCTTATAATTGTATCGCCTTCTGTCAGCCTATGATGTTTATTATTCAATAGGTAGTTTAAATTTGCTTAATGGAACTAATTTAACTCAGTGAAATAAAAAATACGGAATTTCAGCAAGTTATGGGAAGATCGATGAAGGATTGGCTTCGTTTTTCTGTTTGCTTTTGGCACACCTTTCGTGGAACAGGTATTTTTATTTATTTTTATTGGGCCAAAGTACGAGATGTTCTTTGAAAGAAAGAGTACAATATTCTGTGAATCAATTTATACTTTAATATTTATCAGAAACATAAAACGAGTGAATATTTAAGCATCGGTATTCAAAGACATTTACCTCTTATACATGTAAGTCATCTAATAAATATTTGATACTGACATTACATGCTGAACTAAGTGTGATAATTCTAACGAGGCTTTACCAGTTACATCCCTATATTATTTTTATTTGATTTGTGCATTGTCAAATTCACTTCCAATTTCTCAGCAGTTGTTGCTCATCTCGCTATTAATACAGAAGTACTGAAAACCGATTCTCTAAAGCAACCCTTTTGTTTTAATTAATAAAAGGAGCGGATCCCTTTGGTTTCCCCACCTTAATCCGTCCATGGGATGATGGAAGTAACTCCATGGCCAACGCTAAGAGACGTCTGAGGGCTGGGTTCGAGTTCTTCACAAAGCTTGGTGTTCCTTACTGGACATTCCATGACAGGTAAGAAGCAAAAACACAAGGAATAATTATGTACAGCAGCTGCTTATATGTTAAAAATTAACTCATGCGATGCATAAATGTTTTACAAATTAATGTTTTTAACAGAGACATAGCGCCTGAAGGGGCCACCCTGGCGGAAACCAACAAGAATTTGGACGAGATAGTTGATCTTGCCCAGGAGCTACAGAGCAAAACTGGAGTAAAACTGTTGTGGGCTACATGCAACTTATTTGCTCATCCTAGGTATGCTTTTAAAAGAGGAATTAATTAATTTCCTATTATGAAAGATGAGAAAGATGATAAATAGTTTTTCCATTTTCTTCGTTAGCTAATGGATGACATTTTTAGCAACAGAAATATTTTGTTCATAAAATGTTAGATAATAATATATTTCTCCGATAAAAGGTTTATTTTTTTCAAGATACATGAATGGAGCTGGAAGTAACCCAAATTCACATATCTTCGCTATGGCGGCGGCACAAGTCAAGAAAGGTCTAGAAGTGGCAAAAAAGCTGGGGGCAGAAAATTTCGGTATGCGTTGGAATAAATTGATTGAATAAAATTGTGTACTTGTTCCATTTTAATGGGAAATGTGTATATTCTATATATTTAATACTATTTTCAATATGATTGTTTTTATTTAAAGTGTTCTGGGGTGGAAGAGAGGGCTACCATACAATATTGAACACCAATGTTCTCACAGAACTCAACAATTTGGCGACATTCTTTCGAATGGCAGCGGGTAAAATAGCAAGTTGATGTTAGTTTTATTTACAGCGTTACTTTATACTATAAGTATATTATTTTAGAGGTTTATATTGGCAGATTACAAAAAGAAAATAGGATTTACAGGGACACTGCTGATTGAACCTAAACCAAAAGAACCTGCCAAACATCAATATGACTACGGTATACATTCACAAGTTTACCTGCTATACGTGGATTTATATGTATTTCCTGACCATTATGTCTTTCCTAAATATTTCTTCTTATACTTTAAAATATAATAGACTTGCCCCTTAATGTAAACATTTTTTGGAGAATAATAATAAAATGATATAAAATATATGTGTTTCAGACGCCATGACAGTCATTGGTTTCCTGAAACATTACGGACTCGACAAAGACTACAAGGTAGACAGATATCAGCTTGGTGGAAAAAAATAAAATCCGTCAATGTTCAACTTTATTTAAATCTTCTATTCTTTCTGATTTGTAAGATAGTAGAAAATTTTAATATAACGTTTGATTGCACAGCTTAACATCGAACCGAATCACACCACTCTGGCTGGCCATGGTTATGAACACGACATCGTGATGGCTTCCGCGTGAGTACTTTTCATTTTATATTTCTAATAAATACATCTTTTATATCAATATTGCGTTTTAACTGAAATTAAAAAATGAAACCTCCCGTGTTGACTCTCCAGGTTCGGTATGCTGGGTTCTATCGACTCCAACACTGGTTCCCCAGACCTGGGTTGGGATACTGACCAGTTCCCAATGGACATCAAAAACACGACCATGGTCATGAAGGTAGTTTACATCCAATCAATTCAAGGTTATATTCTTTAATTAAAATTTTAAACGTACAAAGTATTAGTAAATTATACTGGAGTGGGGACAAAATTTGACACATTTATTGTCAACAGCTAATTTTCTTCAGTGAAAAATATTCTCAAAGTATTTCACGACAGCAAATACCAAAGAAAAAAGAAATGCGAAATCCTTCTTAAAGGATAATGTAACATAAGTACGTTTACATGTAGAAGACGCTCAGAATTTCTCTGTATGTGCACGTTGCTCGTGGTTTAAGTGACATTAGGTGTTGTAACGTCTAGATGAACTTATGTTTGTTGTATGAAAGATATGAAAAATGTTCTAAATTCTTATACCAGAAGTGCTTGTTTGTTATGATTGAATACTCACTGCGGCATAAGTGAAAAACATGTACCTCTCTTCACAGACAGTGTTAGAACAAGGCGGTCTTTCTCCAGGTGGTTTGAACTTTGACTGCAAGGTCCGGAGAGAATCCAGTGAATTACAAGACATGTTTATCTCCCACATAGGTGAAATATCAAACTTACCAGCTATAATTATTTTCTTTACACTAAAGCATAAACTAGTGTGGATCTGATCCTATTTTTTCTGCTCTTTAACAGGTGCGATGGATTGTTTTGCGAGAGGATTGCTGAATGCTGAAAAACTTCTCTCAGATGGGGTTATTGCAAAACAAGTAAAGGTAAATTCTCTTATATTAGTATAACACATTTCCAGTTGTGTTTATATTAAAAATGATGCAGACAGGTGCTCTTTTGGTTTTATAATGTAAAATCAAAAAAATTAAAAGGTTAATGCACATTGTCTTGATGATTTTAGATTAGTAGAGTTCATTTGGTAATCAATCTGATTGTACACGTATTGCATACATATAACGTACTACCAAAATAAATACAATATAATAAATATAATTATATACGTTTATAGGAAAGATACAGCTCATATGAAACTGGGATTGGCAAAAAGATTGCAGATGGCCAAACATCTTTTGAGGAACTAGAGGTGGGTTTGATGTTGTTCTTGATGTTTGCAATGACACGAACTGGACGTTTCATTATTCACGTTATACTATGTTCATTTCAGATACAGTATCTTTTCTGTCAAATAATCACTCAACCTTATATTTTTGATACAGAAATATATCCTTGACAATGGATGTCCAACAATCATAGCCTCTGGTCGCCAGGAGCATTACGAGTCCATGTTGAACCACTACGTATAAATCTGGAAGGTTCTCCATTTTGAAATGTGCACACGTGATCGAAAACACAGTCAAGTGATTTCTAAAGTCTTATGAAACAAAATAATTAAAACCCACTTAAAACAATTCAGTACGTGTTAAAATAAATTCAATTATTGTTGAAAATGACTATTTTGACATCATCCATAGTTCAGGATCTTTTTAAGATCATTATAATGGCTTCTTGTTGTGAGATATGTAAGTGAATGTACACATGAGGAACATCGATATGGAAACATTATCATCTAGTTTTGTTGTTTCTGTTTAGTCCAAATAAAATTGTGTAAACTGTTGACATGTAATTGTTATTTTTAGAAGAACAGTTACATGGTCATGTAATTATACGAAGGAAAAAATTAACATTACATGTACATTGGCTACATTCATTTGATGTATGCAACTATTTAAATCGTATTTTGTAGAAAGCAACCATTAAATTATTGCATGCAATAATGTAAGTATGCTCGCCGCGATTGAATTAATAAAGTACTTTTTTCATAAAATGCACACAACATTTCGTCAGAGAAAGCAACTATATGTTATGTGTATTTATTATGGTTATAAATATAAAAGCATACATGTACGTTTTATTAAAACAGAAAAATCAGACTTTTTAATTTGAATTTTGACCTTTAGAAAATATTCAAAATAATTATTGCATTATTTTTTTTAATTTACATTCTTCGTCGACTTGAATAAATATATCTTTAAATAAGTGAATGAGATCACGAAATTATTTATACATGCACATGTACGTACCAAGACCTAAATTTACTTTTGATAGCAAGCTACAATCGAAAGCTACCTGTTAATTCTATTTTTATAACTCCGCTTGAAAAGTAAGAGAGTATATACATGTAGTTATAATATAGATTGTATAAATTTATGATCTTGATGTTTGACACTTTGACCTCGAAAGTCATAGGGGTCTTCCTTAGGCCTATAGAATTCAATTGAAAAAGGTCAAAGGCTTTGCAAGATATCGCTCGGGAACGAAAGTGCTATAGACAGGCAGACAGACATACAGACGGACAGACCGAAATTCATATTACACACTTTAAGGGAAAACGAGGGACAAAAGCATATTTAATTTAATAATAAAATGCTTTCTTTGGTTGTTAGTACGGTAATTAATGTCGCAGCTTTTGCAGAAAAATACATACTAGTAACCACAGGCCTTCAGATCGCTTAGAAAAAAATTGAGATGTTGCAAAAAAAAAATATTTTCTTTTTTACACACAATTTTTTTAAGCGATCCAAAGGCCTGTGCTAGTAACCTAGGGACATTTTATTGTTTACACTCACAATTGTATGAAGAAAAAAAACATTCCGATTAAAAATGAAATATGTTGAATATTGAATTATACTATTGGATGAATATGTCATTGTATACATAACTGCATGATGGAACAGCCATTGTTCAAGAAATCCATGCACGTGGCTTGCTTAGACAGTGCCGTTTATGCATTGATCAATAATGGCAATTGTCTTCATGAGAAATAATATAGGGTTATTGAACATATATTGGTGAATATTGGCACAAGTTGGCTGTTCAAATGCATGAGCTTGCGAGTGCATTTGAACAGCCAACGAGTGCCAATATTCAAGCATTATACCTGTAAGTTCAATAACTCCTTTATTATATAGCTACAACATTTCCACATAATTTATAATAATTATTCCAACTATAAAAGGACAAATTAATGATTTTTTTTAATATCGGTATTCAAATTAACGTCTGTCCTGTAAGCGTTCAATATTGCATCATTCCGATGATCCTACCGAGCGATATGATTTGCTTATTTAGGTTTTAATGGGTCTAAAACGTACCGGTACTAAATTTTTAATAAATAATTTCATTTTGTGTGAAAAATAGACACATCGTACCTTCATTTCGTTAATTTAGCTCTGAGAATTTGACCGTTTACAACAGGGCGTTCGATATTGAACGCTCATATTCGGAATGTTTCGGGAATTTACTACTATAAAGTGCATTAATTGAATATCAGAGTATTATGTTTTTGATTGATATCTAAAGTTAGAGAATTTGGTCGTATTAGGGATGGAAACCCTTGAGGACGAAATTTACAGCTTTCCCTCAGAATTCTCAAAAATTATATATTTTACAAGATACATGTAGTCTCATAACTTCAAAAAGAGGGTGCAAACATGGGCTAGCGTGTTATTTTACAATTAAAACAACCACAAAAGGAGTCTCTATTTCTTCTACTCTCTCTCCGCTCCCCTCCTCACCTCCTTTTCGTACTCTCTCTCTCCCCACTTCCACTCTTTCCTCACTCCCTCCACCCTAGCTCCTCTCCCGCTCCCCACTTCCTCTCCCCCTGTCCTCCTATCTCTCCCCACTTCCTCTCTCTCTCCCTACTACTACCACCTCTCCCCACTTTCTCTCCCTCTCCCACGCTCTCTCTTTCTTTACTTTATTAGTCTGTTTTTTTTTACTTAGTTAATTGACATTGTGAAATAAAATTATATATATGCCTAATACAGATTTGTTTCAAAAAGTTTTAAAAGTAAAAAAGATGGAGAAAATACTTGCTGTGAAATAAAGAGTATTGTTTCTTGTTTTTATAAACATTATTATAAAATATTTATTATTGATTTTTTTATCTTTACATTTGATGTTGCAAAATTGTAGTTTTTGTCAAAAGATGAATGTAATTTAAAAATTATAAGGGCGATAACTTCAAACAAAAGAAACTACTGCTTCCCATTCCCAATTAGATCACTGCGCTATATGTTTGTGCATTCAATTTTATATGCTTGAGTGACAATATTATGATATGTCAGCTTGAAATCCCAGTTCAGTTTACTTAAATTATATATTTTCATAATTCTTGTCCTGTTCAGACATCGTGCCGTTGCATTTCATGTTAATCAAAATGCGCTTGCATCAAGACCCCCTCGTTGTTCTACTATCCAGTTTACATGTACCATATTTTCTTAAATAATTGCGTATAAAAGTTCGTTTGGTGTTTTATTCAAATATCTACTATACTGTTTATAAAACTACATGTAATCTTTACTTGTTGCATGGTTCTACTCTACTAACCATAGATTTCGCGTTTTTGAATGGACACTGTTAAATGATTTACCGTTGGGCCATAAGCGTAATTTGAGTAAATGTTCACCTTATTATAGGTCTACCAGTTAGGTCTACAATGGCGCAATTCCGGTGCGGGGTGCTCCCTCTGCGTATCGAGACTGGTCGCTACCGCGGAGAGCCAATTCCAGATAGAATATATAATCTCTGTGATCTGAACGAAGTAGAGGATGAACTTCACTTTCTTTTTAAATGTGATCTATATAAATTCTGTAGACAGGACTTTCTATGAAATATTGGAATTTCAAATTTACAATATAATGATTTAAATGTTCTCTTTAAATATCTGTTAACTCACTTCCCTCGTTAATCTGCAAATTTTATTTATAAAGCCTATAATTCAAAACAACGAAAAATCACACGCATGTAAATTGTAATGTATATAAATTGTTAAAAGTGACTTATAGGTCCGATGGGCCGGGTGTTGAACATATATTATGTTTAATTGTATAACGAATGTTAAAAATAACTGTATATACACATGTCACTATAATAAAATATTTACTTACTTACTTACTTATAGGTTCTGGCAATGCTTCTAGGAAAATTAAAATCATCCAATTAAGCATTAGAGCCATGCAATCAAAAGAGAGAGTCGAGTAAGTTATGGGCTTTTAAAAAAATGTTTTAAGTTCAATAAGTTGCCTCTGTCGCGCATAGGTACCCCTCAAGCTACAATATACATGTGGACGTATGTAACATTATAGAGGTAAATGATTAATAAGGTAATCCGATCCTCAGGTCTATTAATCAGGAATTGGGTAATTGACAGTACTCATAATTTTTTTTTTCAGAATTCTTAGAATAATATGTATTTACCCATGGTATTTTTTCAAAGATCTTCATAACAGTTAGAGCTACATGTGTAAATATGGCGTATCTGAGCTAAAAAATAAAAAAATGATATGTAGTTTGATATGATATTTGCTATCTACATTCAAATTAAATTATTTCACTGATTTTGAACTTAAATATCATGTCGTGTATATAGGTTAAATTGACTTTAAACTGTGTCTGATATTTTTATCCGAATCGGAAATAAATCAGTTATTGTTTTAAATCTCGGATATCTATGAAACGCGATTAATTTAAATTGTGTATATTTAACAGGAAAGTCCTATCTTTATATAGAATAACAAAACAAATGGAAAGATTAATTTTAGTCTTTTAGTCAGTCTGAACTTATCAAAAATACGCCATATATGATTGTAATCATATTATATAGGATTAAATCTTAAATATATTTTCATAAAGTGCGAATCAAAGTACCCACTAGGCATTTTCTAATTAAAACTGATCAACAAATCAACAAATGTTAAAAATTGATCGTCCATTGTAGCGTCATCCTACCTTCAGAGATCATGATTTGAACATACTTGAATCTACACCACCTAAGGAAGTTTCCATATACATGTACATATAAATATGACCAATCATTTATGGAAGGGAATTACCGCCAAAAGTCTATGTATCTTGCTTTTATTCTTATTCTGCCTACTTCTTTATGCTTTGTTACTGTTGTAATTATATGTCACTTTATTATTTTCATATTCGTCTTTATTACATTTCACTTTGACTTTTATCCCTCTTCATTTTGCCCTTACTTCTATGTTGCTTTATTCTTTTAAATTCATTTTACTTTCTTTTAAATTGATACAGTTTCTTAAATGATTATAACTATTACAAACGTTAACTCAATCACGCAAACAATGAAGCATATTCAATGAAGACGAATTCAAGTTGTCCGAATTTAGTGCCGCATTATAACGCTAGGTGGCAGGGGTGTTCGCTAAGAGTGTTGGTAAAATTAGGTAAGCAAACCCGTGCCGGGGTTATTCGAGTTTTTTCAATTTTTTATTAATCAAACTTAATTTTTTAAAAGAACGATGTTTGTTATAAGTCCAGGTATGTACCCGATACATGCCATTCCCTCGGAAGTCTCGCTAGATGGTAAGATTTCCCCTGGAAGACTGACTTCATAGTGATGCTTCCTTCGGAAGACTATATACATGTGCAGTGGGACTTCCCGCCGGGGAAGTTTCAATATAGGCCAATAGGTAGTCTTCCGTGGGAAATCTCGCTGTATATAGCAACCCTTCCCCCGAATAGTTTTTTTAAATCGTAAAACAATGTTTATATATACTAACGTTTTCAGTTTTTGAAGAAAATTTATCCGTTCTATCAGGGACTACATGTATATACTAGTATATAGGTCCCTGGTTCTATATGAATAAATATCTAAATAATATCATTTTAATAGTGTTTTATAAATATTTTAAAAGTGTTTTATAATTAAATCATTTTAACCATTTAGTTAAACATAGATAATCTTCACGAGTACATATGGATAATGACTCCCCCCCCCCCCCCCTTGGATGCAGTCCGCTGTCGCCCGCGTGGCACTGTGGTTACGGCGTTTGCTCTATATAGAGTCACGAAGTACAGTAGTAAGGAGTTGACCAATACGTCGTCGGTTCGAATCCCACTATAGGATGTGGAGTTCGGTCCTTCGGATGAGATCTAGACCGTATTATCCGAGGTCTCGTGTCGCAGTAGGTACTGGCACGAAAAAAGATCCCTCACTGCTCAATGGCTATAAGTGCCGAGTGTATAGGACAAATTTGCAGCTCTCCACCGGCAAGAGGTGGCTTCTACATTTGAGTGAAAAATTCTCGAAAAAGAAATTATACAATGTACAATCACACCACCAAAGTCTCAATATATATACTGACTTCTGGGTGGACGACCTCCTATGGGTAAGTTCCATCGGTAGAGGAGAGGATGGCCAAGAAACATTTTCCTAATCGTAAGTTTTTACTACTGGAAAAGTTCAGCGAAAGGCTTGTTGCCCCCCATCCCTTATCCCTAACACTTTTTGTTGCAGTACTAATAGTTGATTTATATATTAAAAGTCATGTACTTAGTGGCATATGAGTAAAATTTATTACTGAAAAAAAGTTGACGACCCCCCCCCCCCTTCACCACCACCAATTAGAATTTTCGAGTTTTAGGATTTTTTTTAGCTCTCCTGGTTGATGACAAACACGGTGCGTACTAAAGATATTTCTTTCTTTATTGAAAAGTGTTATTTTAATATAAAATATTAACGCAGAAAAAAGACCGGGGTGTTTCTAGTATGCCTGGGTGCATGTAGTCTGGTTCCGACTTCGCCTTCCATGCGCGGATCTGGAGGAGGGGGGTAGGACCCCCTGGAATTAACAAGGTTACTAAAACAAGGAAAAAAAGTTACCACCCCCCCCCCCATCCCCACTCCACGAAATAGAATGTTGACGTTTGAGCGAGTTTAGGTTTTTTTCTTCATTTTATGCTTGTCAAGAAAATTCTGGGATTTAATTTTTTTTACTTGGTTCCCCCCCCCCCCGGAAAAAAATTCTGGATCCGCGCCTGCCTACCCATAAGGCTCCTCACTCCTTTGCAAAGCTCTGTCCCTAGAATCACGCGCATCAGCAGTTACTATCTGTCGTGAAATAAAGTTCAGTTTAGTGGAAGGTTCTGAAAAACAACCCAATTTATAAGGGTTAGCTAGTATCAAAATATTTAACATTTTTATAACAATTAAACTGTAATTCAAATATCCAACAAATAACTTTATTAGAATTATATTTTTCAGGCGAGAGAACAGTGACGTAGCATCGTTTTTGAAAGTGGGGAGGGGGGCAACAAGAGAACAAATATTCAAGCTACCCGGCTGAAAACAACTTGACAAGCGCAAAATAAACCCCAGGAAATTGTCCAAACTTGAAAATACATAGACGTCGGAGCCGGGGAGGGGGGGGGGGCGGCTTAGCCCCCACTTCTTTCCAAAGATAGACTTAGTATAGACATTGAACATTTTTACAGGTTTAGCCCCCACCCCCACCCCACCCCACTTTCCATGGACACGATGCAGTAAAGGTTTAAAATGGGGAAAGTGGTGGTATTTGGAAAAAAAAAAACTTTGGCACTGGAGTTCGAACCTTCAACCCACCCACACCCCAGCCCTCCTCACGCAATAGGATTTTTTTTGTTTGGAAAATGGACATTTATTCTTTTTTTTTTTTTGCTTGTCAGGTTTTTTTTTTGAAAGTCTAAAATAAATTCTTACACTTACCCCCCCCCCCCCAACTTTCAATTAACTTCCGACGCCAATGAAATCCTATTTCGGAGGCGGGGTGGGTTTTGAGTTAGATTCAAATCCTTCTATAGAATCAAATTTGAATTTTCTTCCTACTATACGTACTACATTTACTTATTTGACCCTTACTCTTACAAAAAGTGGGTCGTCCTTTAAATGAACATATTCAGTATAGCATAAAGTTATGTCTGAAAAAAAAGCCGCTATTCCTATGTGCCCAGAGAAAATAAATATGGAGTTTCCATCATTGGATCGGGAGATCGGATCCGGCCTTCAGAAGTTCGATTGATAAAGTATTAAGGCGTATTGAAGAATCTCAAATAAACCGACCCGGGTTTGCTTACCTAGTTTTACCAACACTCGTAGCGAACACCACGCCACCTAGCGTTATAATGCGGCACTAAATTTTGACGGTTTGACAACTTCCATTCGTCTTCATTGCATATGCTTCATTGTTAGCGTGATTGAATTAACATTCGTAGTAGAGATAATGCTAATAATTTATTAAAGAAACTGTTTAAGTTTAAAAGAAAGTAGAATGAATTTACAAGAATGAAGCAACATAGAAGTAAAGAAAAAAATGAAGAATGATAAAAGTCAAAGAGAAATGTAATAAAGACGAATATGAAAACAATAAAGTGACATATAATTACAATAATAACAAAGCATAAAGAAGTAGGCATAATAAGAATAAAAGCAAGATACATAGACTTTTGGCGGTAATTCCCTTCCATAATCATTGCTTTGCTGTTCTTGAGAACTTTAAATGATTTTCTCTATATCTTCCTATGTTAAACTTTGATCGTCCATTGCGGCCATTGTGGGCCCCACCCTACCCCTGGTGAAGGGTGAACAAAATTGAATCTACGCTAGTTGTGGCTGTTTCCATATAAATTTGACCAACTATACTTGAGATGAAGATTTTTTAACGACTTTTCCCATATACGCGCCTATAAGATCGTCCATTGTGGCCCCACCCAACCCCCGGGGGTTCATGATTTGAACAAACTTGTATCTACACTATCTGACAATGATTCCGCATGATTTCATCTTTTCTGGCTCATATATTTGTTCTTCAGAAGAAGAATTTCAATGATGCTATTAATTTTTTCGCTATTTTGTAATTGTCTCCCCTTGGAGGAGGGCATGGCACTTCATTTGATAAACTTGGGTCCCCTTCACCCAAAGATACTCTAGATCTATGCCTAATTTCGTTGAAATTGGCCCAATAGTTCTGTAGAAGAAGATAAAATTGTGAAAAGTTTTCGCCAACGACGACGACGAAGACAGACAACGGACATATTTTGATCAGAAACCTGAGCCTTCAGTTCAGGTTGGCAAAAAATGAAATGTGTAGTTGAAAGATTCCAGGCACATTTTAGATCAAATGCAGTGTAACGGAGAGAAAACCCGTGGGTTCCGACGATGCTCAATAACCACTTGGTCTGGAAATTGATATTTTTTTAATTTGAGAAAATCATATGGACCTCATGGTAAGATGGGGCCACAATAGGAAATTTGCATTGGACCATATAAAGAGGAAAATACAATTGTTCTAGAGAACTTTAGAAGAAACATTAAATTAAGCAAATGCAATCTCTACCCAATTATCGTTCCAAGAAGATATTTTTTCCCAACTGCAAGGTCACTTTAATAAAATTGTTTTGAAGCTTCTCGTGTTGTGTAGAATCAGAGACCTCTTAACTGTTTAGAGTGGGACCACAGTATATGATGACCGTCAAGCAAAAGTCCTTTTTATTTCACCGGAGATCCACTGGGCAAGAAAACCTGAAACTTATGTGGAAGCATCCTGAAGTAGTGTAGAATTTCATATAAACATGAAAATTCAAAATAAAAATATTAGGAATTGGGCATTTATGAACCAATAGAGACCAGTAAGATGAAACAGTACTCGTTTTTTCCCCTACTTTTATGACTTAGTACTAGATTTCAACGTTATTTGGACAGATATCAAAAAGCATACATTTTAAATAGTGAAGTGAAGATGTACATAACATTGTTATCATATTCGTTTATGCGTGAATGTAATTCAAAGCAGAAAAAGTGCCTGGGAGTTTGAAGCGATTCTATACAACAGAATGAGCAATAGCTAGAGGATTGGGCATCCGGAGACAGGAGGACTAGGTTTACCGCTTGCCACTTACGCGGAAAAGAGTTTTGTCCCTTTTTGGAACTCTTCAGTGTATGAAGATGAGCAGATGAAAACAGACAAACTAGTCGAAGGAAAATATTGTGTACAGTTTATTTATTATCATGGGAAACACCGATACAAAACTAAATTTTAGGAAAGCTGTGATTCAGCTTACTACAAAGACACAGGTATAGAATCATCCTGGTGTTCGCGGTTTGAAGATAAAAATTGGTTTATCGTAATTTGCCAACATGTCGCTAGTTGCACGGATCAATAAATTTCCAATAATAGATAGGCTATCTATGACGTGCAAAGATTTTGGTACAGAAAATTTCAAGGAATTTATAGATAGAATAAACTGGATAATTTTGTTGTAATTATTCTATTTAACTTACTTTCATTAAATTTAATGGATCTGTTTTTTTTTTTTTTTTTTTACATCTTAATCTCATGTTATCTGATATTATAACATGTATCAGCTGTACATGTAATTATCGTGCAGCCCATTGAAGCAAATGATGAGGCATTCTGGGAACAGTTTTGGTCAGAAAGTGTGACCTGTGTCCAGGATGTATTTACACTGATCCCTGCGGCAGAAATAAGGGCATTGAGGGAAGAATCTCCGTCTAATCTAGCCACACTTTGTTACAAAGCTGTTGAGAAATTAGTTGCTGCTGCAGAGAGTGGGTGTCCATCTCAGAGAGAGCAGCAAACAGGTATACAGAGAAAACAAGACAGGGGCAACATTAATCATGCAGTGTTATTTCAACATGAATGATTATTTGATGAAACCGCAAACGCAGACACCAGTGAAATTTTGCACATATTTTCAAGATCAGCTCAAAAAGGACAATATACTGTAAACCAACATTTATCCGCATGTGAGAAATATTCGCAAATTTCACGATCTACTTTAAGTCGTAAATATTAATCGCTGTGAACCATTTCCTTTGCTTTGTTTTGTAGAACGTTTTTCCTTATGAAAGTTCTCATCGCAGATTGATTTCAAACTGACAAATCGCAAATAAAAGATGATGCGAATAATAGTTGGTTTACAGTTAATCAAAGATTTTAAGCAGTATTTTAAACATTAAATTAGCATGTAATTGAATGTTAAATGGAAGTAGAAATGTACATGTAGGCTATATTTTATGATAAATCATTACATGTATAATGTATTTTTTCACAGAGCAGACGACCAAGTAAGCAAATATTCAATTTTCTTTCAGTTTTAAATTGTGTGAGACTTCTGACTCGCATATTACCGTACATATTTGAGGACCCTGACTGGAGGGGATTTTTCTGGTCTACACTACCAAACCAGTCCGAGGAATCTGAGGTACTGAAGAAACATTGTCAGAAGATGTTGCTTATTATACATATACAATCTATAATGATAGACACATAACTAATTATTGTCTAGAATGTATTTTTTTTTCCTTTCATAGATCTTGATTATTTTTTGTGTGTGTTTGTCAGTGACATCCAGGCTAAATCTATATACAAACACATAATTTCTGCCAATTTATAATATCAGACATGTCAGAATATAGAATATTTCATAAACTTAAGGTAGGTCCGTACTTTCAGAATTTTCTGTCAAACTGATAATTTTTCAATTTAAATACCTTGAACAAGTCTTAAACTTACTAAAACACCCATAAAAGACATATCTTTGCATGTTAATTTTCATATAACATTTCTCAGCGCACATACCTCTAAAAACTCAACAGCCAAAATTGAACATAAAAAAGTGTGATATCATATTTCTCTTAGTTATGCACAAAATCACATCAAATTTATGTTAAAACTTATGAAGATCAAAAATATTCATTTGCCAAAAGAATATTTGAAATCTTTACTGCAAAACATTAACAAATTGGTGTTTAATCTGTCCATGTCTTTCTGAACAAAATCTCAAAAATATCTTTATTTTTTATAATTCTCAAAATCCCAAATGTTTAGATGCCATTTATTCTTTAAAACTATTAAGAATTATATCTAATGTTAACAAAAACAGCTACTTTATTATGATTGACCAGAGAATTTTAACAAAACAGTCTTTTGAAGACGTATACCCCCATTTTTGGAATATCAATTTTTTCAATTATTCAATGCAAAATTTTTAAAAAGTAAAAATTAAATGATGATATTGGTTCTAAATCAATAAAAATAGATATCAGGTTAGTTTGCTTAAAAGAAAATTAAAAAGATTTAGGTCCATGAAAGCAATTAACAATTTTGTGTGTGTGTATGTACTAAATGACATATAGATCTTATGGACAGAGTGCAAAGTGTTAATTTCCATAAATAATGTATATTAAATGCTTCATATGCATAATAACACTATAATAAACAAATATATACTTGCTAAATCATTTTCAACCACCCAAAAAGATTTATATCAATAGAAAAGTGAAAATCAGAATTTTATATTGATGTGTAAAATTAGAACCGGATCCGTAAAAGTGTGGGCCTTCCTTAAGTTCTTAAGTCTTTCTTCTCAGGGGTGCCTAATTCAATTTGATAATTTTTACAATTATCAAATGACATCATTTTCAAGATTTTTTTAATGATTTGTAGAATTTTGTGAAATATAAAAAGTTTCTCTTTTCCAGATTGAAAGCTCACCACTAGCACAATCCTTACTAAATGCATTATGTGTGAGTATTTTTATTGCACTATTGCTAGAGATATTATGTATAAAAACAAACATTTTCCTTGAAAACACA